TAAATTCTTTATTATATCTAGGAGTCTTCTGGTGGGATTTTTGGGGTCCTCTAGATATAGGATCATGTCATCAGCAAACACTGATAGCTTGACTTCTTATTTTCCTATTTGTATTCCTTTGATTTCCTTCTCTTGCCTGATTGCTCTGGCTTGAGTTTCAAGAACTATATTGAGAAAAAGTTGTGAGAGTGGACAGCCTTGACTTGTTCCTGATTTTAGAAGAAAAGCTTTCAGTTTTTCTCCATTCAGTAATGATGTTGGCTTTAGGTTTGTAGAATATAGCCTTTATAATGTTGATATAAGTTCTTTCTACCCCCATTTTCTCCAGTGTTTTTCTAAAAATATATATTTTAGTTGTAGATGAACACTATACCTTTATTTTATTATATTTATATGTGGTGCTGAGGATCAAACCCAGGGCCTCCCATGTGCTAGGTAAGTGCTCTACCAATGAGCCACAACCCCAGCCCCTCTTCATTATTCTTAACATGAATGGTTGCTGTATCTTATCAAAGGTGTTTTTTGCTTCTATTGAGATGATCATACAGTTCTTGTTCTAAATTCTATGTAAGTAGTGAATTACATTTATTGGTTTGCATGTGTTGATAAAATCTTGCATCCCTGGGATAAAGCCCACTTGGTCATGGTATATTATCTTCTTTATATATATATATATATATATATTTTTTTTTTTTTTGAGTGCAGCTTGCTAATATTTTATTAAGAATTTTTACATCTATCTGGGTATTGATCAGTAGTTTTCTTTCCTAGATATGTGTTTGCCTGATTTTGGGATCAGGGTTTTACTGCCTTTATAAAATGTATTTGGGAGTGTTTGCTACCTTTCAATTTCATGGAATAATTTGAGAAAGACTAGGGTTAGTTTTTCTTTAAAAGCCTGGTAGAACTCAAATGAGAATCCATCTGGTCCTAAACTTTTCTTCACTGACAGGCTAAATTGTTTCAATTTCATTACTTGATATTGGTCTATTTAGGTTTTCTGACTCTTCCTGGTTCAATTTGGGCAGGTCATATGAGTTTAGAAATTTATCAGTGTCTTCTAGATTTTGCAGTTTATTAGAATACAAATTTTCAAAAAAATTTTCTAATGATCTTCTGGATTTCAGAAGCATCTGTGGTGATATCTCTTTTTTCATCTCTAATTCTGCTGATTTGGGTCTTCTCTCTATCTTTTGGTTAGTCTGGCTAAGGGTTTATAAATCTTTTTTTTTTTTTTAAGAATCAACTCTTTGTTGCACTGACCCTGTGTATTGTCTATTTATTCTTAATTTCATTAATTTTGGCTGTGGTCTAATTATTTCCTATCTTATACTGATTTGGAGTTAGTTTATTCTTTTTCTAAGGCCTTGAGGAGGAGCATAAGATTATTTATTTGGAATCTCTCCATTTTCTTAATGCCTGCATTTCTTAGTGCCTGCACTCATTGCTATAACTTTTCCTCTTAGTACTGCTTTCAATAGTGTTCCAGAGACTTTGATATGTTAGATCTTTGTTTTCATTTGTTTCTAAGAATTTCTTGATTTCTTCTCTCATTTCTTCTTTGACCCAATCTTCATATAAAAGAGTATTATTTAATCTCCATGTGTTTATGTGGTTTCTATTTTATTTCTTGCTGCTGATTTCTAGTTTCATCATTATGGTCTGATAGGATGCATGGGATTATATAATATATAATAATATATATATATATATATATATATATATATTTTTGTATTTGCTAAGACTTACATTATGACCTAGAATATATTCTATTTTGGAAAAGTTTCCATGAACTGCTGAGAAGAAGGTAAATCAGTTGTTTGGGGGTAAAATATTCTGTAGATGTCTATAAGGTCCATTTTATTTATAGTATTATTTAGGTTGAATACATCTTTATTGATTTTCTGCTCTGATCACCTGTCTGGTAGTAATAAGGGTGTATTGAAGTCACCCAGTATTGTTGTATTGGGATCTATCTGGGATTTAAGGAATATTTTCTTAATTAGGTACCTTGACATTTTATATATAAATGTGTGTGTGTATGTATGTATCTTCTTGTTGGGACTGTTTCCTCTGCCAGTATATAAGGGCCTACTTTGTCTCTTTTGATTAATTTTTGCTTGAAATCAACTTTGTCAGATATGAGAATAGCTACTCCAGATTGTTTACAAACTCCATTTGAGTGGAAATTTTTTAACTTTTTACCTTCAGTCTGTGTCTTTGCCTATGAGTCTCTAGCACAGAGGATATAGTTGGATCTTATTTTTTGATTCATTCCACTAATCTATGTCTTTTAATTGGGGAGTTGAGATTAAGTGTATTCAATATTATTATGGATGTGTTTGTGGTTTACAGTCATTTTGATTTTTGTTTAGGTTTAATTGTCTTCATTCTCATTTAGATGATTAGTTTTCTGATATTTATCTACTTGGGAGTTTTCGGATTTGTTTTTGGGTTCCTCTGTATACAGTTTGAGTATTCTTTGTAGTGTTGGCTTATTTGTCATTTAAGGGTCCTCAATTTTTAAGAGGGTAAAGGCATCCTGAGACTACCAAGTTAGAGAACTGCTAGTCTAGAAGATGCCTAGGATTCCTTTTGACACCAAGATTTCAAGAACCCTGTAATCTATGAGAATTTAATTATCAATAACTACTAAATAATATTTACATAGTTACTGAAAGTATAAAATATGTATTTACATAAAACAAACATCCAATATCTATATTGGTTAATGTTAGATTAATGTCCCATGTGTAAAATAAATTTGGGAGACTGTATGTTCATGTTCCCAATTTAGTTGACAGAAAAAGCCTTCAATTAAACATCTTTTTTATTGAAACAGAGTCTCCCTTTGTTGCCCAGGCTAGTCTTAAACTCCTGGCCTCAAGCAATCCTACCACTTAGCCTCTCAAGTGGCTGGGACTTGAGGTATGTGACATTAAAACATCCTTAATAATAATTTCAAGATTTAAAAATAATTACCATATTGTTGTTAATCCACCTATTGAATGGTCAATAGTACAAACTTCCTCATATACTCTTATTTTAAAAAAATATTTTAAGTTATAGATGGACATGAAACCTTTATTTTATTTATTTTTATGTGGTGCTGAGGATTAAACCCATTGCCTCACACGTGCCAGGCAAGTGCTCACCATTGAGCTTCAACACCAGACCCCTTCATATACTCTTTTTTCGGGGGGAAGGTACCAAGGATTAAACTCAGGGGCACCTGACTACTGAACCACATCCCCAGCCCTATTTTGTATTTTATTTAGAGACAAGGTCTCACTCAGTTGCTTAGCAACCTCGCAGTTGCTGAGGCTGGCTTTGAACTCACGATCCTCCTGTCTCAGCCTTCTGAGCTGCTGGGATTACAGGTGTATGCCACCATGCCTGGCTCCCTTCATATACTCTTGCTTTTTTTTTTTTTTTTTTCTCTTTTTGTTACCAGAATTAAACCCAAGGACACTTAACCACTGAGCCACATCCCCAGACCTTTTTGATTTTGAAACAGAGTCTTCACTAAGTTGCTTGGGGCCTCACTAAGTTGCTAAGGCTAGCCTCGAATTTGCAATTTTCTTGTCTCAGCCTCCCATGCCACTGGGATTACAGACGTGTGCCACAGTCTTCTTCCTAGTTATGATTTGATTACTGATTACACTGTCATCTTAACTTCTACCATAAATAAAAATTACATATTTCCTGTTTGTCCTATCATATGCTTAAGTGAAATCTTCCCTTTTTTTTTTTTTAATATTATACAGATGGCAATACTTAGGCTATGTCATTCTGTTTTATTAGCTCAACTATAACAGGTATTTTACTATTTAAAAATAGTATATTTTTTTGCCAGGTACCATTGTACACACCTGTAATCCCAGCAACTCAGGAGGTATAAGCAGGAGAACTGCAAGTTCAAAGCCAGCCTCAGCAAGTCAGCAAGACCCTAAGCAACTTAGCAAGACCCTGTCTCAAAATAAAAAATAAAAAGAGCTAGAGATGTGGCTCAGTGGTTGAGCACCCCTGGGTTCAATTCTTGGTACCAAATAAAAGAAATAAAATACTATTTTTCCTACTTAATATAAATGCATTTTATCATATTTCTTTAAAACTCATAAAAATTCTATTAAAAATGGAAGACTCTAATTTGTATCTTCCCTTTTACCAAACCAATTCTTTGAATCCTAACTAACCCTTGCAAAAATTCTCTATTTTTTGTTTGCTTCATAAGGACCATTTCCCTACCTTTATACAAAGATAGACACAGAAGCTCAGGATAGAGACATTGTATGTATATACATTATACAGGAAAAGAATCACCTGTGCATCTTTTCTATGAGCATGTATTAAGAGTTCCATGGAGCTCACAGACTAATATCAGTAGAGTGCCTTCAACTATAGCAAGTGACCAAAAAGCAAATATGGAAGGCAAAGTAGAATAGTTCATAAACTGAGGCTGTTTATGCTATTAGATGATAGAAATTAAAAAAAAAAAAAAAAAAAAGGTGGGCGGGTTGACCTGACTAGTTGAGCAGAAGTTCCTTCTGGAGTTCCAAGTTATTACAACACTCTCCATAGTTTCAGTCACTTGCCTTAGGTGAAGACAGAATTTTATGGGTTTCTGTTGGTTCAGCTGCTCTTGGTTTGACCATGGCTACTTCCATGTTCTTTTCACAGGGCAACTTGGTGTCATTTGGGTGTAGGCAGATGATCTTGAGAAGGTGAGCCACACCAAACAAATAAAGATTATCTATATTTGTGATGGTTTTATTTATCAAGTAATGGGTTTGACTTCATATATCCTCTCCATTTTCATCATTTCCTCTTTGCCAACAAAATTTTATAAGAGCTTTATTATATATTGGTCAAATTATATTGTGATAGTGTGTACTGTATATAAATGTAATAACAAATCACATCATTATGTTCAATACAACTAAAATACACCAATAAATAAAAAGAGCATTGTCATAATTTGAAAAACTCCATTACTGTACCTCTTCTATTTTCTTAGGAGAAGTTTCACTTTTATTACTTTTGAATTCTTCATTTATCTTTATTCTGGCTGCTAGAGAGAAAAAAATATATTCAGTTATTTGCTTTAGAATTTAGAATTCCTGCCTTAAAAATTTACATGTCATTCATTATATTATTCATTTCTCTTTCTATAATGTAAAAAAAGAGTTTGCTCCCATGTAAAACAAGCACGAGAAATATATTAAATAAATCTCTTGGAGAGGTTTTGACAGGCTGGTAAATTTGTTAATAAATAAATAAATAGGGGCTGTGGGTATAGCTGCGGGTAGAGCGCTTGCCTCTAATGCACAAGGCCCTGGATTCAATCCCCAGCACCACAAAAAATAAATAAATAAACTTTTAGCACTCTAATACTTTCCCTACTTTTTACTCTATAGTTACTGGATTCTAAGAAATCCAAATGAATGCTGGTTTGTGTTTTTCTGTTTTGTTTTGGTACTTGGGATTGAATCCAGGGTGTTCTACCATTTAGTTATATGCCCAGCCTTTTTATTTTTTATTTTGATATTTTGAGACATAGTCTCCCAAAGTTGCTGGGTCTAGCCTTGAATTTATAATTCTCTTGCCTCAACTTTTAAGTAGCTGGGATTATGGGTGTGCCCCATGATGCCTAGCCCAGATTCATGCTTTTTTTCTATAAACCTAAGGACTTTGATTAAAAGTCTTTTGTTTTTCCAAGAAAGCAAAAGTCAACACATACAAGTGTGTTAAATTATATATGTACATACACTGACAATTAAATTGCTGAGGCTGTCCTCAAACTTTCAATTCTCTTGCCTCAGGCTCCAGGATTGCTAAGATTATCACTTAAAAACTTTTAAAGCAGCTGGGCGCAGTGGCTCATGCCATCATCCCAACAGCTTGGGAATTTGAGGCAGGAATACAACTTCGAGGCCAGTCTCAGCATCTTAGCAAAACCTCTGACAACATAAAAAGGCTCTGTCTCAAAATTTAAAATAAAAAGGATTGATGATGCAGCTCAGTGGTAAAGCACCCAAGTTCAAGCTCTAGTACCCTCCAACACCAAAATTAAAGCAATAAAAATATACCATGTTAACAGGGACTAGCCATAAAACCTTCCTTTTGTACTTGATACATCTTAATATGTAAGGTGGTTAAGAGTCTGGGCTATGGAGTCAAGATTACTTAGGCTATATTCCAGTTCTACCTCTTATCATGTATAATGTGGGGTAAATCTTTTCACATTTTGTTAGTTTTTGCCTCTGCAAAAGTAGGAGTTACAATAGTTACTACCCTATAGAGCTGATATGAGAATTAAATTAGGAATTTGTTTAAAGTACAGATGAAGCTGGGTACCGTGGCCTTGTCTATAATTCCAGCAGTTCAGGAGGCAAGAGGATCTTGAGTTCAAAGCCAGACTCAGCAACTTATTGAGGCCCTAAGTAATTCAGTGAGGCCCTAAGTAATTCAGTGAGACCCTGTCTGTAAGGAAATATAAAAAGGGGCTAGGGATATGGCTCAGTGGTTAAGTGTCCCTGGGTTCAATTCCCAGTACCAAGTAATAATAATAAAGTACATATGACATATATAACTTAATGTTTAAAAAATTATTTCTGGTGAATTAGAAAATTTTTAACTCCTAGGGAAGTTGGGAGTGAAGTTGACTATGACTATTACTGAACTTAAAGCTTATAGCTATAACTTCCAGATAAGATAGAAACTGCTTAAAACAGGGAGATGCTGAATTTGGAATCATCTGAGTTGGTTTTCTTTCTCAACTACTATGACTTCTTGACTAAAACTGGTATTTACAATATGATGGTACCTGGTCCTAAAACGTGAAAATATGATAAGAGAGAAACAGGTTTAATGATCTGAAAATAAGGCAAGTTATGGAGAACACTGAAATTCTGACCTACCATTATTAAAAACCTGATTTAATTTTTTTTCTTTAAGTAGATATTCCTCAAAGAAATGTGACAGAAGCAGGACATGGTGCCATATGCTTATAATCTCAGTGACTCAGGAGGCTGAGAGAGGGGGATCACAAGTTCAAAGCTAGCCTTAGCAACTTAGCAAGGCTCTAAGCAACTTAGTGAGACCCAGTCTGAAAATAAAAAATAAGCTAGGCGCGATGGCGCATGCCTGTGATCCCAGTGGCTTGGGAGGCTGAGACAGGAGTATTGCAAGTTCAAAACCAGCCTCAGCAAAAAGCAAGGCACTAGCAATTCAGTAAGACCCTGTCTCTAAATAAAATACAAAATAAGGCTGGGGATGTGGCCCAGTGGTCGAGTGCCCCTGAGTTCAAACCCTGGTACTAAAATAAATAAATAAAATAAAAAATAAAAAAGGCTGGGGATGTGGCTCAATAGTTAAATGCCCCTGGATTCGATCCTTAGTATCAAAAAAAGTAATGTAAATAAATCTTTATAAAATATATATGTGTAAAATCAAAAGATTTGGTTAAGGACCGGGGTTGTGGCTCAATAGTAGAGCACTTACCTATCATGCATGAGGCACCAGGTTTGATCCCTGGCACCACATTAAAAAATAAATAAATAAAATAAAGGTATTGTGTTCATCTACAACTAAAAAAAAATTAAAAAAAAGAAAGGAAGAAAAACTGCTCAGAATGTAGAATAAAAATCCAGAGAGAAATTAAGAGGAGAAAATTAAGAGAGTAATCCAGAAGAGTTGTATTAACAAGAACACCAACAAGAGAGAAAAAGAAGTAAAAAATCAAAAGGGAAATAATCTCAGAGGAGAGATAGTAAAGGTCATTCCGTAGATAGGTCTTAACCAAACAGGCAGGATTTCCAAAACAGAATAACAGCTATCTAAATAATGAACTTGCTCCAGAGGGGTAAAAAATATATTTACCTTCTAATGCTCTGGGGTCATTTTTAAAAACTTGTTGTCTTGTTCTGTGCAATGTTTTAAAGAGCTGTAAAACCTGTTAAGAAAATAAGAATTCAGATCTCACAAGAAAAACTTTCAATTTTCCATAATTGTATTACAAGAATTAACAGTCTTCCTTTTCTATTTGTTTCTTAAACTATTTTTCAAAATAACTGGTGAAAAATCATGGTTTGCCATAATAACATTCCCTTTGCATTCAGATATATAGAAAGATATACAGATTGGAGATACAGTTTAGTGGTAGAGTGTATTCTTAGCATGCATAGGCCCTAAGCTCAATCCTCAGTACCAAAAGTTTTAGCTTTATTTACAAAAAAGTTTTAACTTTATTTACCAAGAGAAAGTTCTCTGAATCAAAGAAAGAAAGAATGGTTAAAAAGATAATAATCCTGTCAAAAATCAGCCTGCTTGCTGATCCATATTTGGGGGGAGGAGGTAATGGGGAAAATGAAGGAACTGATTGGGCAAAGGGGAGGGAGGAAAGGTGTGAAGGCAGGGTGGGGGTAGGGTGGTGGAATGAGATGGTTATCATGACCCTAGATACATGTATGACTGCACATATGGTGGGACACTACAGTAAGAAATGAAAAGTTGTGCTGCAATTGTGTACACTGAATCAAAATGCATTCTGCTGTCATATATACCTAATTAGAATTAATTAATTAATTAATTTAAATTTTAAAAAAATCAGTCTGCTAACCAACTTTATCAGTTTAGTATGTACTTGTTCACCTCTTTCTTAACATATTGAAGCTTTCATCTACTCTTAAAATCATACACACACATACACAAAATCATGAACTTATTATAGCTGAAAAGAGCCAGAAAAAAAATGTTTCAGATAATTTAAGCAAGTTTAACTGCAGTTTCTCAAAGGCTGAGTGAAATGCTGAGACTTATGAATATTCAGAGTTTGTGTAAAAAAAAGAAAGAAAAGAACCTGACATTTTTGTTAAAGATTATCAAGATTTTTTTTATTTTTTAAATTGTAGATGGACATAATAGCTTTATTTTATTTATTTATTTATTTATTTTTATGTGGTGCTGAGGATCAAACCTAGTGCCTCACACATGCTAAGCAAGCACTCTACACTGAGCTACAACCCCAGCCCTATCAAGCTGTTGTTTTGATAAGCTGAGGTCACCTCTCATTTCTCAAGTCCAAAATGGTACTCAATATTGCACTCCTTCCCTGTCCTCTCAATTTTGTTTTTATCATTTATTTATTTATTTTTGTGGTGCTGAAACTCAGAGCCTCACCATTGAGCTATATCCCCAGCCCATGTTCTCAATTTTAGTTCTTGAGACCACTGAGCTTCAAGCCAAAAATGTTAAGGTCATCCTTTAAATCTACTCTACTCTTCATGTAGAACTTTAGGAATACCTCCCTAAACATTTTTATATCCTCCATCCCCAAAACTAGTTCAGACCTTCCTATCTCTTTCTTAGATGACTTACAAAGGTATATCACTCTACCATCATTGCCTCCTTTCCTCCAATCTGTTCTCCAGATAATCTAACACTGAACATACTGCATGCCTGACACCATATTAAGGGTTTTACATGCATTAGAAAACTGGTAATATCAAAGACAGATAACAATAAGAACAAAAAAAAAAAAAAAGAAAAGAAAAAAAGAAAAAGAACCAGGAAAATTGGGAGCAGAAAACTCCAAAAAATCTCTTGGATATCAACTGTATGAAAGCAAAGATTAGGTTGAGAAAATCTGCTCAGAACATAAAACAAAAATCCAGAGACAGAAATTGAGGAGAGAGGGCTGGGATTATGGCTCAGTGGTAGAGCATTTGCCTCACATGTGTGAGGCACTGGATTCAATCTCAGCACCACATATAAATAAATGAATAAAATAAGGTCCATCAACAACTAAAAAAAAAAAATTATAATAATTATCTTTTTTTTAAAAAAAGAAGGGACTGGGATAGAGCTCAGTTGCACAAGGCCCTGGGTTCAACCCCCAACCAAAAAAAAAAAAAAAAGAAAGAAAGAAATTGAGGAGAGAAAATAAGAAAATTAAGAGAGTAATCTAAAGACTCAACAGTAATATTAGCAGGGGCACCAGCAAGAAAGAAATGGAAGTAAAAAAGGAAAGGGCGATAATCAAGAACATTTCACCAAGTAAGGACACAAGTCACTAGACAGAAGGATTCCACCAAGTGTAAAACACAAAACTCACAGTTGCATATCAGTGAAATGCTAAGAATAAAATCCAAGGGAAAAAACAGTTCACATTTAAAGTATTAGAGGGGCTGGGATTGTGGCTCAGTGGTAGAGCGTTCGCCTAGCACAGGCGGGACCTGAGTTCAATCCTCAGCACCACATAAAAATAAAGGTATTGGGCTGGGGATATGGCTCAAGGGGTAGCACGCATGAGCGCAGGGCGCTGGGTTCCATCCTCAGCACCACATTAAAAAAAAAAAAAAAAGATGTTGTGTCCACCGAAAACTAAAAAATAAATATTAAAAAATTCTCTCTCTCAAAAAATAAAATAAAATTTGGGCTGGGGATGTGGCTCAAGTGGTAGCGCTCGCCTGGCATGCGTGAGGCCCGGGTTCGATCCTCAGCACCACATACAAACAAAGATGTTGTGTCTGCCAAAAACTAAAAAATAAATATTAAAAAATTGTCTCTCTCTCTCTCTTTAAAAAAAAAATTAAATTAAGATGTTATGCCCACCGAAAACTTAAAAATAAATATTTTTTAAAAATTCTCTCTCTAAAATAAAAAAATAAAGGCATTGTGTTGTATCCACCTACACCTAAAAAAATAAATATTAAAATAAATAAACAAATAAAGTATTAGAAAATAAGAATGGCATATAACATCTAAATAATATCACTATGAGAAGACAAGAAAATGTTTTCAAATCTTGGAAAAAGTTAATAATTACACTCAATAATAATAGGAATAATATCAAAGATGAAAACTGATTCTTCAAAAATTATACATTTTGAAGACAACGTATGAGAGTGAGACTAGTCCTCATCTTCTATAGCTAAATGTCAATAAAAAATGTCTCAAAAGAGAAAGAAACCAATGAATAGCACTTTAAACATGTTATTTAGAAATATGAAGTAAATCCCAGATGATTAAAATAATTAAAAAGCACTTATCTCTGGGAAGCAAGAATTGGGAATAAGTAGAAGAAAATGGGTGTATACTGGTTTTCAATTTTACTTCTTAAACTTTACATATTTATCACATCTTTATAAAATTTTATTTTAAAAAAGGAAAGGGAAAAGACACTATCAAAAAAGAAAAAAAATTTAGGTACTATGGCACACACTTGTAATCCCAGCAACCCAGGAGGCTGAGGCAGGAGATCCCAAGTTTTGGGTCAGCCTTAGTAACTTTTAGTTTTGAGACCCTGTCTCAAAAAAAAAAAAAAGGTCTGGGGCTCTAGCTCAGTGGTAAAGCACAACTGGGTTTAGACTCTAGTACCAAACAAAACCAAACAAAAACCAGCCAGGTACAAGAGGAACTTGGGAGGTTGAGGCAGACTGCCAACTTTGAGTTCAGTCTAAGCAACAGAGTGAGACCCTATCTCAAAGAAACAGAAAAAAGAAAAAACCCCACAGGATGGTAGAAAATATCTGTAAATCATATAACTGATAAGGGCTTAATACCCAGAATATCAAAAGAACACTTATAACCCTGATTTTTAAAATATGCAAAGGATTTGAGTAGACATTTCTCCGAAAAAAGATGCATAAATGTCCAATGAGCTATGAAAGATGTTCAACATTCTTTCCCTTCTGGAAAATCCAAATCTAAACCACAATAAGATGTTACCACATCCCAGTAGAATAGCAATAGTAGAACAAAGTCAATAACAAGTGTTGGCAAGGATATGGAAAAAACAAAATTCTTATATATTGTTGGTGAAAATGAAAAAAAAAATACAGCTGCTCTGGAAAAGTTTAGCAGTTGCTCAAAAAGTTAAAACACAGTCATCTCACAATCCAATAATTCGATTACAATTCTATTACTAGGTATATACCCAAGAAAAATGAAAACATGTACACTGTTCACAGCAGCATTATTCATAATAGTCAAAAAGTAGAAACAACTTAAATGTCTACAACCTCATGAATAGGTAAACAAAATGTGGAATATCCATACTACTATGCTTTGAGTTGTGCATACTCCCAAAAGAAGTTGAAGTCCTAATCCCAGACACCTGTAAATGTGACTTTACTAGGAAATAAACCTTTTGCAAGATGTAATCAAGTTAAGATGAGGTCACTAGGGTGACCTACTCCAATGAGACTCCAATGTGGGGAAAATACCACGCGAATTATAAACACACAGAGGAAAGAGAGCCTGGTGAAGACCAAGATAGAAACTGGAATGATACAACAGCAAGGCACAGAACCACCATTGGAAGCTAAGAAAAAAGCAAGAAAAGACACTGCACAGTGTTTCAGAGGAAGTGTGGCCTTGCTGACATCTTGACCATGGATTTCTAGCCTCTGTTACTGTGAGACAATAAATTTCTGTTGTTCTAAGCCACACTGTTTATGGCAGGTTGAGTGTCCTTAGCCAAAATGTTTGGGACCAGAAATTTTCCAGATTTTGAGGTTTCTCAAAATTTTGGAATATTTGCATAAAATTATTGGATCAGCACCCCTAATCTGAAAAATCTGAAATCCAAAATGCTCCAAAAATCTGAAACTTTTTAAGAATCACATTGATGCTCAACAAGTTTTATGGTTCAGAGCATTTCAGATTACCAATGTTGGTATTAGGGATGCTTAACCTGTACTTTGTTAAGACAAATGTAGGAGACAAATACAGATTTTGGTACTGGGAAATGGAATGTTGCTGTAACAAGTACCCCCCCAAAATGTGCAAGTAGCTTTCTAATTGAATACTGTGTACAGGAAGGAAGAATTCTGAAATGCTTGGTAGTAAAAGTTTTGATAGCCCTGAAGAGACTGTTGGCAAAAATATGGATTTTAAAGGCATCATAGTATAGCATATGCTTAACACTGTGAGGCGCTGGGTTCAATCTCAGCACACACACACTCACACAGATGCCATCATAGAAACCTGGAAATTTAATATTGCAAGAGTAGTAGAAGACATGTTGCAAGGAATTTCAGAAGAGGAGGAGAGGTAAACTAGACCTGGCACAAGCTTTTAGTCCCAGCTATTCAGGAAACTCAGGCAGTTACAATTTTGCTTCTATTGTTGTGACTTATATTAAAAGTATACTGAAAGTTCAATAGAACAAGAGGACCGCTTTGTGGCTCCCTATTATTGATCAACCATAAACACACTGCTTTTCCTCAAAGTATTGTAGCATAGCATTTCTTCCTTTCTGTGCCTGTTTTGGCCAGTGACAACTGCAAGTCCTAATGGGCCACAATGTTGATATTTAAAGTCAAGAATTGGGCACTGGTAAGAAATGGGCATGGGCTCGACGAGAAAAGAATCTGAGACCAGGTCTTTAGAGAGTAATGCAGATGGGTCCAGCACATCCCAAACTTTGAGAACTTGGGTCTCACAATTTCTGCTATTTATCGCTAAATATTACCTTTGCAAATAATTCTGCTGGGGCTCAGTTTCCTTTGGTTCCTACACTTCTGTACACCTTCTGATCATCTGAATAAACATTCCTCATCATTGCATGGTTTTAACTCCGGATTGTGTTTAACATCTCTTCTACTTCTCAGAGACCTGAAATTGGTCCCTCAATTACTCAGAACTCAAGTCGCGTGCTTTTATCACACATAATACTCGGTGCCCGTTAGCACAAAGAACTAAGAACCATAATGACTTCTCCCTCCCTTCTCCGCACCTGCATGAACCCACGACTGCCCTTCAGGGTTGGTCATCATCCTCCAGAAAGGGTCCCGAACCCCAGCCTCCAGAAACTCCAAACAACCTTCGCAAGGCCACGGCCACGAACTTATTACTCTTACCGTCGGCACCGCACCCACTCCCTCCCCAGGCCCTGTCACCTTGGCCGCCTGACCCATGGCTCTCTTCGCGGTTGCGGCCACGACTCAAGCGGTTGAGTCGCCCCGCCTCTTGGCAACCAATCAAGGCCTGGCGTTGAAATCCAATTCCCGGTGGCCAAGTTCCCAGCGCGCCACAACCAATCATCACGCAGCATCTCCGTATACCCGCCTTCCTCGGAAGAACCAGGGAGAGGCATTTGCCAATTTACAACTGTAAAACCGCGAGAAGTACTGGAGCCCAATTACTGGCCAGAGGAAAAAGGAAATCACCCGGAAGCCATCTTTATTAGGGGCAGAATCACTTCCGTCTTGGGTGGTTATCTTTTCTTTCGGGTATTGGTTACGTTTTGAGTATCTTGTATTTTAGCGTTTCCCGGTTGAGACAGTCTCTTTAGAAACGTGCATCAGTAACAATCAAGCATTAACAACTACACTGGGCACTGATTGGAACGCTGATTTTTAAAAACTGATATTCTTTCATTCTTTCCAAGAAGGTGAAGTGAGTTACTTGCTGAAGTTCACATGGCTATTAAATGGAGGCCTGGGATACAAATCTGCTAAGCCTGATTACAAAGACTATCCATACCCTTTATATCCTACCTACTTAATTTGCCCTACTTGTTTTGCTAGAGGAGGAAATGGGTAACTTATTAACAGCATCATAACAAGGAAGCACTTTTAAGTACAGTTTACCTTAGAACTTTGCAAGCGGTAAGAAAAATCTCAACCTTGTTCCTATGTCATAAGAGTTGTTCACCTTCTCTACCCCCACAAACTTTCAGATTAATTTCTAGGTACAATTGACTTTTTATAAAGAATGAAAGATTTGGAGCAATGGAACTCAAGGCCCCCTTTCCTCTCTATTGTCTGCATTTCAATATACTGCAAGTCATGAGAATAGTAGATAATATTCTACATTATTATTATTATTATTATTGTTATTTTTATACTGGGGATTGAACCCAACAGAGCATTACCACTGACTACATCCCCAGCCCTTTTTATATTTTATTTTGAGACAGGGTCTGACCAAGTTGCTCCCGGCCTCACTGAATTGCTGAGGCTGGCCTTCAACTTGTGAGCCTTCTGAGTCGCTGGGATTACATGTGTGTGCCACCATGCCTGGCTTAAAAAAACATATTAAGGTGCATTAGATTTGTGGAAAAGCATTTGACATAATCAAGCAATTAAACCAATGTACTGGATATTGTATTGAATCCAGGACACAATAAATTAGTTGATCTTAAGACATTGTATTGTAGTGTCTTCTGAATGGTGACAATGATTAAAAGATGCTTTTTAAAAAAAAAAAAAAAAAAAAAATTCCCCTTTAAAATCATAGTCCAATTTATTTAAAATTTGTAATCTGTTGTGGTAATCTCTAGCTGACTAGGGTCCTGTATTCAGCCAATCAAAATCCCACATCTGCTGATTTTGGCGAAGGTGGGGGGAGTACTGAGGATTTATCCCAGGGGTAATTTAGCAATCACCTCAATTTAACAGCCTCAACCTTTTTTATTTTGAGACAGGGGTCTCACTAGATGCTTGGGGCCTCACTAAATTGCTGAGGCTGGTCTTGAACTTATAATACCTGTGTCTCAGCCTCCCCAGCTATTGGGATTACAGGCCTGCAAGACCATGCTTGATCATCTTCTGATATTTGAAAATTTAGTTCCTATAATGCCAAAATCAGTTCAATCTGTGGGTGCTTTTGTCTTACATAAACCTTTGTGGTTCCTTTCACTGTTCCACAAATGAAATAACTCTTTCTGGTTGTTAAAGGAAAGCGTCCGTGTTTGTCTGCATCTGAAAGTGTACCAGGCAGAACCAAACAGGAAATTCCAACATCACATAAATTCACAGAGCTTTGTTGTAGGGAGTATAATGCCCTCAAAAGATTATATGTCCAGGACCCCAGAACCTTTGATTATATTATCTTATGTGATGAAAGGGGCTTTACAGATATGATTAAATTAAGAATTTAGGGATGGAATATTATCTTGGATTGTATGTTGTGCCTAACGAAAAACAAAGATTTTTTACATTTTTTTAATTTGACAGTAGAATGCATTTTGACACTTATACACAAATGGAGCACAAATTCTTAATCCTTGGATAAAGATTATTGAAAGTCGAAAAAGGAAGAATAGACAGGGAGAGGCCTGAAGATACTCCCGCGCTCACTTTGAAGATGGAGGAGGCCACACACCAAGAATGCAGGTGGTCTCTTGAAGGTGGAAAAGGTAAGAGAGTTGATTCACTTGTAGAGTCTTCAAAGAATGCAGCCCTTTTGACAATTTCATTTTAGCTGAGTAGAACCCAGTTTGACTTATGACTTCCAGGTCACTTGTGATGGCTCTTTCCATCATTAAAGCCAACAGCAGAACATCTTCAAATCTCCACCCTGCTTCTGATATCACATCTCTCTCTCTCTCTCACTCCTGTGATGGAATCTCTTTCTTTCACTCACAAAGGGCCCTGTGATTACATTGGATCCCCATGAATAATCCAGAAATCTCCCTACCTTGAGATCCTTAATCAATCTGCAAAATCCCTTTTCCATGTAAGGTAACATATTCATAGGCCCCAGGGATTAGGATATTGCGAAATTCCACCTACCTCATCCTCAATCAGTGAGACCAATTCATCAGGTTGCAATAGGAGGAGATGAGATAGGAGAAGCTGCCAAGATTTGAATATTATTCTGTGATGGAATGCCCTGGAATATTACCAGCAAAAGAGTGACATCATGATTTATATTTTGCAAAGATCACTTTGGATACTGTGTGGCAAACTGATGACCATGAAAGCAGAGAGTCTTTACAACTAGAAGTCCCTCCAAGGACTCCAGGCCATGGATGATATTGGATTAGAGTAGCGGGGATAGAGGAAGTGAGAATTAAGTTCATGATATCTGTTGAAAATGCCACAGAAGATTTGAGAATAATTTCAAGCCTCTTAACTTGAGCAACTAAGTGAATGGTGCTATCAAGGATATTGAATATAATAGGAGGAGGTTTTGGTTTGTTGTGGACAGAGTAAAACTATATTTCAAGGGCCTTGTAGACAGTAAGTGGAGGTGATGAGTAAGAAATAATTTACATCTTTTGGCTAGTATGGAATTAAGGGGAGAGGCAGGTCAGGAGACAAGTACCTAAGTGATTGCTTTATAGATGATACAGCCTTTAGATGACGTGGAAGTTGTATTATTTATTATCCAAAATAGACACATTTTATCTCTTGAGACAGGGCCTCACTATGTTGCCCTCGCTGGCTCCAAGCTCCTGGCCTCAAGTGATCCTCCTGTCTCAGTCTCCTTAGTAGCTGGGGCTAAAATAGCACTTTCTTTTTTTCTCTTCTTTTTCTTTTTCTTTTCTTTTTTTTTTTTTTGGACAATTTTAGACTTAAAGGAAAGTTGCCAGAAAAATACAGAATTTATATATGCCTTTCACTAAGATTCTCTAAATGCTGGAGCTGTGGCTCAGTGGTAGAGCGCTTGCCTAGCATGTGTGAGGTACTAGGTTCAATTCTCACCACTGCATATAAATAAATAAAATAAAGGTCCGATGACAACTAAAAAATATTAAAAAAAAAAGATTCTCCAAATGTTAACATTTTACTGTGATTACTTACCCTTCTCGAAAGATTTTTTTTTTTCCTCTGAACTGTTTGAGAGTAGGTTGCAGACATGATACTCCTATACTTCTAAATATGTCAGAGGATGTTTTCCTATAAAACATTCCTTTATACTGGTGGTCCTCAAAGTGTGGTTCCAGGTTCAGCAGCAACCACATTTCCTAGGAACATGTTAGAAACCTAACTTAGAGGACCCCACTTCAGACCAAATGATTTTGAAAATTTTGCTGTCGTTAAAAAGGATATTAACATGATTTCAAAACTATTGTCTCATTTATAGGCATTATTTAGATTCCATCAATTGTCACAGTAATGTCTTTGATAATAGAGGTTAAGGGGCACTTTTAAGATTAAAGGGAACCACTATGAATAATTTTGCCAAAACAAAGTGGTTAAGTGTAATCATACAGGGTAATTCAGGAGGTATAGTTATATTTTCTGAATATGGACAATGGAGATTGTGTTATCTAAAAAGGAGGCCAAGAACAGAAACCACTGAGAAGTATGGAACTGAAGCTCACTGTGAAGGAAGGAGAAAATGGCAGCAGAGAAGTGTTAGAGTGAAATCCACTGCTGAAAGGAGGGAATGGTCAACAGTAGCAAATGATGCCAGGGGATCTAGTATGATAACTAGAATTGTTAGTACTAAAAAGTACCCTTGATAAGCGAGAAATGGACTAAAAAGTGAAAGCTGAGAAAGTGGACACAATGTGCAAAGAACACTTTTTTAAAAGGAACCAAGAAATGGAAAGGGAGGTGGGATTAAGGAAGGCTTTGTTCCTTTAAGGTGAGGTATTTTACACTTTGTTGATGACTGCTGGGGGGGAAAAATCTTTGGAGAACAGCCAAGGGCGTTTACAAATACTGATCCCTGGGTCTTATCCTCAGAGATTTGGATTTAATTGGTCTGGTGTATTGCCAGGTTCACAGGGAATTTTAAAAGCTTCCCGAATGATTTTACGAACTTGTTTTGTTTTGTTTTGGGGCACTGGGGATTGAACCCAGTATCGCTGAGCTACATCTCCTGCCTTTTTAAATTATTTATGTATTTTATTAAGAGTATTTATCCATTCTTGTGTGTGCGTGTGTGATATAGGGGATTGAACCCAGGGCTTTAAGCATGCTAGATAAGCATTCTATCACTGAGTTGTAATCCCAGTCCTTACTTTTTATTTTGAACAGGGTCTTGCTAAATTGCTGAGGCTGGCTTCCAACTTGTGATCCTTCGGTCTCAGCCTCCTGAGTCGCTGGGATCACAGGCGTGTGCCACAGAGATGGATACCAAAAAATAAATCCCCACTGCCAATAAATAAATAACATCTCCAAGTGACTTTAATGCGCAAAGTTGAGAGCCACTGCTAGGGAAATTAACAACTTGATGCAAAAATGGACTTCATTGCTCTAGTCAAGACCTTAATTAAGTAGTTGAGAAAGGAAGTGTTAAGATGTCTCAGCCAGCAAACAGGGGCCAGCAGCACATAGT